CGGGAAAAGTTGAAGGCTACTTTAAGTTCCATTTTTAAAAAATATGGTAAAAGGATACATATGAAAGTATATGGATTTTAAAAAAAGATTGCACAATTTTTAATTACATGTGTGCTGAAAATTAAACGAAAGTGACGGCTGACCCTCAACACAAACATCTGTCTACAAATGTTGTCCTCAGACATAAGGTGAACATGGGAACATGGGAAGAAAATGTTATAAAACCAGTTCTGCTACTGTATTCTAAAGATACTTCCACTGATATGAATTACAGTACTACTTAATCAGAATATGCATTATTCAGCAGTACACGGAAACTGCAATCAACAGTGATAAAATTCCAATGATCACAATGGGGGGAGTATATTTAAAAAAAACCTAACATTTGCCATATTTCTCAATATTTTGGAATTCACTACTGTATTTCGTTTCAATTTTGTCAGCACTCAATTATAATTTGCAGATAACCCTTTAGAATGCTGTTAGATTATATTTGCATATTTTTTGTTAGGAAGATATAGATATGGTTTAAATAAGAGAATAGCAATAACCAGGGCATTTTTCTCATAGAACGCCCAGAGCGGAGTTCCAGCACCTTTTTTGGATGGAACCTTGTAGGGTAGGCAAGGCAGGTTGTATGATGTGTGTGAGTTCCGGCACCTTTTTTTTTTTTTTTTTTTTAGAAAAAAAGCACTGGCAATAACACTTAAACTTTATATACAATAGTGGCCAAAATTGTGGAAACCTTTTGGGGAAAGTGTATTTTTGAGGTATGATGGCGAATAACATCACTTTTTTTGGAGTAGTACCACAAAATTATATATCAATGGAAAGATAATTTAATCAACATAGTGTGTTCAATTATCTGTACTGTATTCTATGAAAAGTTATAGCCAAATAACCAGAAAAAGGAAGCACAACTTGCTTAGGTTAATATCAGGTAGTTTTCCTTTATCTGATTGTAGCCAATGAACATGACTGTTTAGAGAGCCAATCAGGTGTCATCTTGTTTTGGCAATGAGCCAATCAAATCACAGTAGGATTCAGTTATTAATGTCATTTATTGAAGCTGAGAGGAGGACATTTGTCAGTTTGTTATGTGATCACTATTAAGTTGGTTGGGTTTTTTTTTCCTTTCATTTAGTGAGCTTGTAAAACATAATAAAATTAAAGTAATGTAGCAAAGAGTTGACTGGTTGCCCAGAAAGCGATGTAAAATAGTATTAAGTGAACAAGGCTACAGTTATAAAGAAATTAGAAGAAAAATTGGTGGAAACTTAACCAAAGGTAGCATTTCTACCGTACACTTTTCCCAAAAGGTTTCCACAATTTTGGCAACTATTGTACAGGTCTAGCACTCTCTGAGTGATTTACAGTGTCAGCATATTGCTCCCAACAATCTGGGTTCCTCATTTTTACCAACCTCAGAATGATGGAAACCTGAGACAATCTTCAGTCAGTCAGGATCAAATTCCAGACTGTGGGCAGAATTGGCATGCAATACTGCATTCTAACCACTGCCTCACCAGGGCAAGAGACTTAAGCCTCTCAATACCTATGCTACTATTAGCAAACTCTGAAGTTAAAATGGAAAACATTATGGTCTCCAGTAACACCCTATAGTCAAACTCTCTTTGTGAGCATGTGGACACAATCATGAGATTTTCCTGACACCAATGTGAAATGGTTATCTTTTTCCATAATTTTTGACTTTCTAGTCTTATTGCTCTGAAATTTTCAGGAAGGTTCTATTCCACTATTAACCAAGTTTGACTCTATGTAGCTCTTGATCTAAGTGCTACCACCTACTGAGATATTCTAGATCAGTGGTTCTCAACCTGTGGGTCGGGACCCCATTTGGGGTCGAATGACCATTTCACGGGGGTCGCCAAACAACGCAGTCCGCCATTTTTTTTCCCTTTTCCTTAGCTGTGCTACTCCCTTTTATTCTATTGGCTTTCAAAAGCCAATAGGAATTGTCCAGGCTGTCTCTGCCCTGCTGAGCCCACCAAAAGTCCCATTCTGCAAACGGTGCTGCACCAGTTAAGTAGTCCTCAACTTACGACCAGTTGTGTAGTCGACTTACGACTGGCTGGGGGTCGCGGCATTAAAAAGGTTGAGAACCACTGTTCTAGATGCTACTCAACTACAGTATTTCAACCCTAGCCATGGTGGCTGAAGCTACTGGAATATCCCAACCCCATGAAAGTGCTAGATAATCAAGAAGGGGTACAAAATCTTTTGTGGCTAAAGGCTACTTAAAGAACAAAGCAAAATACACATGCATGGTCATGAAGAATTGCAGAGGGATGGCAATGACTTTTCTGAATACAGGTCAGAATTTCAGTCCTTTTCTTCCAGTGTTGGTTGCTGAGAATTTAGCAGAATAGACACACTATTGGAGGTTTAATATATCTACTTATTCATTAAAAATAGAAATTTGCACCAATTATTTTAGTGATTTCTCACCAAATTTCAGAAGTTTTAGGAGATTGTATGAACTGAAAAAGCTATGTGTAATCTTTGGTGCCCATGCCTGATTTAGACCCAACTTTGGCTATGCTAATGTATTAACAAAAGCAACTTTTTGCACAGACTAAGACATTCCCTTTTCATTTCATTTTGAAAACTTTAAACTATGACATATTACAGATCTATTTATCAGATTAGAAGGCACTTATCAACATAATATCACTGAAAGTATATGTTTGCCACATCTGTTAACACTTGTGATAAACTGTATCATTTGAAATACTGAGGTCCATCTTCAATCAGTTCCCAAGTGAAATCTTATGCTGACGAACTATCTTAAAAGAAGAGGCATCTCCAAAAGTTGATTATTGTCCTTCTATTTCATAAGAATGAATGTTATTTGGTTTTATGCACTGAAAAGTTTTTATTTGATTTTTAAAATATGCAAAGCTGTTTAAAAATAAGTAGTCTGATAAAATAATTGTATATATTTGCTTGGGAGTCTACTGAGGGCCATGCATTGTTACAATGAAGTAAACAGAGTTTGTCTACTAATATAAAAATAGGTTTTATTGTATGTTTTGGTAAAAATTAAACTATGATTGAGATTTGTTATAACTGATCATTGGATTGTGGTGCATATTGTCACATTAACCAATAGCTACTTTATTCTGTTATTATACTAAATGCTCTACAGAACAATCACAAACTTGTTTTCCTACAGAATGGGACACAGACTCTTGGCATTTTTATTAATTTTGAAATGCAAATATCTTTGCATTAAAAAGTTCTGAATGCTACTTTCTGTTCTTTAGAAATATTATTATACATCAGATGTGGACAATATTTGTTGGAGTCTACATTTAATGTCTGGAAGAGGCTGATAGCTACAGTGGGTGCAATTGTGATACAGGATGAACAGATCTGCATCACACACATTCCTACAGACAGGATTTTTCTGAGTTGGAATTTACTCTTTTTAAGACTGAATTAAGCCTACATACTTTTAGCTGGAGTTCTCCTGGCTTACAGAGATCAATACCAAAATAAAGATCACATTTTTGGCAGACGTTTCAGCTTGCACTCCAGCAAGCCTTCCTCAACTCAACAGCATAGAAGTGAAGATTGTTCTGCAGTATTTATAGTCTGTATGGAATTTGAATTCTTCGAGGTTAATAACTGCACACTTCTTGGAAAGTATTGGTTGATTGCTGGTTGGGGACGGTGCTAATTCTATTCTGTATTAAATCTATTTTTCATCTTAAAAAGAATGGAAATCATTTTAGCATTGCACCAAGCTGACAGTTTGCAATGATACAATTTAAGGGTACTCCAAGGCCTGCAATTGTGGGGCTGCATGTCTATCCTTGTTACAGCTAGGTATCTAGTTGCTAGACAGAGTAAAAATTCCAAGAGTTTTTGAGGCTGGCTACCCAATTTACAAGACTGTTCATATAAATTCTATTCTACTGCCATTTTCAGTATGTAATAGTTATCAAGATAGCTAATATTATTCAGATTTAAAAGATATACAAAGCAATTGTGATCATGGGGTTATCTTGTTAAAGGAGGGATTTGTGATTCTCTGGAACCTGCTTAATTCCCAACACAGCCTGTGGTGAAGGATTCCGGCAGTTGTAGTTCATCAACCACTGGAGATGAAGGCCTTCAAGCATCTGTAAAACATGGATCTAATAGAACAGATGGACACCATGTATATTCAGCTCCAGCCTCCCTGATAAATGTGTTGTATTATGCGGTACAAAAGGATGATGTGTAAAGATTTCTTAAGCAAGACAGTATTTTTTCTCTGTACCTTTTTGTTCTTTTCAAAGAAAGGCTGCAAAAATAAACAAGATAAGCCGGTAGGAGTATCTGTGCACCTTGAAATTTTCTCAGAGGGCCTCCCTAGGCAGCGGTAAGTTTTATCTGTTGCATGTAAACACTTTTTGTTTCAATCGTTTTACAAAGATAAGTCTAGTAGCATTTGCTGGTTCCCCGTCCAAAGGATTTTTTTTTTACTGTAGTAAGTGAGCGGCTCAGCTTCTGCAACCAGAAAACCGCTGGGATTATCCATTTCGAGGCCGGCTAAGGACTACGCTCAGGAGCATGTGAGCGTCTCTCCCAGACACATACTCTGTACTGAATGGGAAAAAACAAAACGGAGAGTTTCTGTGGCACAACAAATGCGGGGGGTGGGGAAATCACCCTCAACCTCAACCTTTAAAAAAAAAAAAAAGCCTCCAGGTCTGAGCTCAGGGTTTTTTTTTTAAACTTTCCAAGCTCGGGGAATGATTGAGGGAAATTCTGAGAACACAACTTCGCCTCTGTAGGGACACTAAAGATTTGGGTTTTCCAACGGCTGCTTTTCGGGAACTCCCATGCACTGGGGGCGAGAGTCTCTTCTGACAGGCGGGATCCGAGTCCCCGCCCCGGCCACAACGAAACTCGCCCCTTCCCCTTCACCACCAGCATCACCCCCCCCTCCAAATCTGCCCAGCGACCCTCCCTGTGCGCGGAAACCTCACCTGGTGCTTTCGGGCTCTTCCTCGCCCCCCTGCATGAGACCCTCAGCGCTGCGGGCTAAGGACGGAAAGGCGGCTCTAGGCACGATCCCGCTCCCGCAGCCACCTGGCAGCTAGACGCGGGGGAGACTCGGGTCGTGACGGGGGTCCACTTTCCCCCACAGAGAACTTTGCGTGCGGTGCGGAGGTTTGGCGAGAGGAGGAGGCGGCGGCGGCGCTGGCTCTATCCCAAAGGCAGCTCTCGCCCGGCATCGGCGCGCGCGCGCACCCACACAAACACCCACACGCACGCACACTCACCATCCCCACAGCGCGAGAATAACAGGCATAATAGTCTTCCCCCGCCACTAGCCTTGCGGTTGGGACTGTGTCCCCGCCCCTTGGCTCGGCTTCCCAGCAACTGACGCCCGCCTCACACTTTTGAAAGAGCGAGAGCGGCCCATGGAGTCGTTGAAGCGCGCCCGTTAAGAGGAAAAAAGCGTGTTATTATCGCAGCTACGAGAGCCTTTTTGGTGCGGGGAGGCTTAACTCCGGAGAATCGGCTTCCCGGGCAAAACCGTTTACATCTGGGCGACTGGAATCGTTTGCAAAAACGCTTTGCCCGCGCCACTTTTCCTCTTTGGCCCGGGTTGTTCGTATTGCTCGCTTCCCCCGTTGTGATTTCGTTTCGTGATATCCGCCCTTTTATTTATTTTGTTTAGGGAGTATTTAGAAGGAGTTCCCTCTTTAAGTATCTGTGGTTATTACGTGTCGAGGTTTAATTTCTGAAAAGGGGGAAGTTCTCGGTCGCTACTAATGGCGGAAATCCCGCCGTCGAGTCTCAGAGATCGTCTTTCTATCCCGGAATGTCTTTGATTCAGCGGCAAAGAAAAATAATTTTGCATTATTCTTGTTAATTAAGGACAGATCTCAATAAAAAAAGGTTCATTCTCCAGTATCTTACTCCACTGAGTCTACAGGTTGCACTATGCATTGTTTAAACATGTTTTGTTGAATAAACCACACCGATTACTTTTCCAGTCAAGCCAAAGCATATTATGCCCTGTTATTTATGAATCCAACCAGTTTGCTATATAGTCAGTGTTATCCTCCTATAATACAGTCCGTGCATAACAGAAACTAATATCTTGGCTTATTCACTTAGTCCCTATGTATGGAATAAGCAACATTTCTCCTTACATTGAAGTATATTATGGATTTACGTTTTTGTCTCGCCTTTTTCCCCCCTCTGGCAGACAGGTGTGCTTCAAAGCAGATGCTGGCCTCTAGCCACTGATATATTTAGTTCATAAATGCCACAAGAATCCAATCAGATACACAAAGACAAAAAATCTGATTACAGTAGTCTGTGCAACCCTTTTACCAAAGTTTTTGGCGCCGTGTGCAGGTCACATCTAGAGCAGCTGCCATTCTTGTCATGCTGTAATTTAAGACTTTGAGTTAGAGATCTCAATTTCTGCAAAAAAAAAAAAAACCTAAGTGCTGACTGTTGGCAAAGTACGTATCTGAAACTGACTTGGTTCCAAGCAGTTAGATGATGACATATTCACATTCTCTATTCAGATCAGGTAGGCACAGCTAGTCGTAAGAGACATTTGGATAATCATCCCTTGTTTTGGATCTTTCTAGGTTGTTGACTTAAAAAAAGGAAAGAAAGATAGGAGAAGCAGCACTACAGTTTGAGCAACTATAAATGGGAAAACAGAGTGATCAGGTGCGAAGATTAGGACTGGCATTGAGCCCTGAAGTAAACTGAGATAATATAAAATGAAGTAAGTATAGTGGAATGACTAGGATGGTAAAAGGAAGGGATTAGAAAAGCCAAGAGCACAACTTGATCTAGTTCTCAACTTACAATTTGTTTAATAATTGTCCAAAGTTATACCGGCACTGAAAAAAGTGACTTGCAACCAGACCTCACATTTAACAACTGTCACAATATACTCACACTCACATAAACAAAATGTGTATGCTTGGCAACCAGCATGTACTTACGATGGTTGCAATATCCCAGGCTTATGTGATTGCCATTTGTTACCTTTCCAGCTGGCTTCCAACAAGCATAGTCAATGAAGAAATCCGGATTCACTTAATGACTACTTGATTCACTTAACAACTGCAGTCATTCACATGGCAAAAAAGTCTTAAAATAAGGCACAATTCATTTAACTGGCTTGCTTAGCAATGGAATTTCTGGTTCCAATTGTGGTCATAAGTCGAGGACTACCTCTACTCTCTGCTGTTGTTATGTGATGTTGTTAAGGTCAAAGGAGCAGCACTCTACTCTGGAGCTAGAAACCCACTTTTCTTCATAGAGCTCCTCCTCATTTATAGTTTCCCTATTGTCTGCAAAATAACAGTTTTATAATTACTTACATGCTCCTCAGCAATCATTTTAGCCTTTTTGTTGCAGTACTTAACATTTCAAACTTGGTCTCTGGCTGCCAAATTTAAAGACCGCCTGACCTAAGACCCACTGTTTTCTTTTCTAAAAAGGGCCATCAATGGGAAGAGGAAGGCATTGAGGATAAAGTTACCATAAATACAATTGTTTGATTAACTTAGGGTAAAATAAATTACAGAGAGAATGGCAAGGAGATGAAGGAGGAGAGAGGAAAGAAGGGAAAAAGAAATTATTCATAATCATAAAGACTGAATAATTAGAAATGACATTTTTCTAAATTTAAATTGCACAGGCAATCTCCAAATACTAGTTAGACCATTAAGCAAATCCTAAAACTTGATAGGAAGATGCATTATAATATATATTTTAGACCAGTGGTTCTCAACCTTTTTAATGCCGTGACCCCCGACTGGTCGTAAGTCGAGGACTACTCAACTGGTGCAGCACCGTTTGCAGAATGGGACTTTTGGCGGGCTCAGCAGGGCAGAGACAGCCTGGACAATTTCTATTGGCTTTTGAAAGCCAATGGAATTAGACTCTATTCAAGAGAGTCTATTCTATTGGCTTTCAAAAGCCAATAGAATAAAAGGGAGTAGCACAGCTAAGGAAAAGGGGAAAAAAATGGCGGAATGCGTTGTTTGGCGACCCCCGTGAAATGGTCGTTCGACCCCAAATGGGGTCCCGACCCACAGGTTGAGAACCACTGTTTTAGACCAATAAATAATTTATGATTGCTGATCCTGTTTTAAAATTTAAGCCACTCTCTTCTAAACAATCAGGATATAAATATTTAGTATTTTTATATCCCACATCTAATTGCCACATATCTTTTAATGTGTGTGTGTGTGTGTGTGTGTGTGTGAGAGAGAGAGAGAGAGAGAGAGAGAGAGAGAGAGATAGAGAGGGAGAGAGAGAGAGAGAGAAAGAGAAAGAGAGAGACAGACTCAATGGCAAATGTATTTATATACCCAAAGTTTGCCAGAATAAGAATGCATTTTGGCAAAAAGATAATGGAAAGAGGGCTAGCCAGTTTGTCAGACAAGAAATCTGAGTCCAAAGTCTCAGACTAAGTATCAAGGTCCTTCTCCTGTGTTCCCACCAAATGCCTTCTAAAAGAAACTGAATGTTTCCCCGGCTGAGTGAATGAACAGAATATATCATATTCTAAAGAGTCGGATACTCAAATAATATATTGTTTTATAGTCATAAAATATACTTCAAATTTTGTTTTGATTAAAAACAGGAGGAGAAATCCACAATATAAATCTAACAAATAAATAAAATTTACTTTTACGTAAATGTATCTGCATAAAAACCTCATGTCAATATATATATAACACATGCATAATTACTATGTGCAATAAAAGTGTTATTCTGAAATTCATCATGACTTCCTCTTAATTCTCACTCAGCATTTTGGCATGTTTGCAAATATTTTAATGAAAGGTAGCTACCTTTCTTCTTTTATGACTCATGATGAATGTTTACTGAAACATTCACAAATGCTCAACAAATTATTAGATGCTATGCAGGGCAGTTCTAAATTCACTTGTTTGGAAGTACAGTATAACTTCTTTTAGTAGTTCTTACTTTTACACTCTGTGTGAGAACTAGCTTTATACTTCTTTAAAATATTTTCTGTTTTGCAGTTGTTCTTTAAAAGTAGATTAAAAAAACTACTTGTAAGATTTAAGGAATATTATTGAAAAACTTTCAGCCCAAACTTCATATGTCCATTAGTATTTAACAGAGCACTAAAATATGATTGTGGAATTGTAATAAAGATGGTATATAATGAGTTCTGATTTGTTTTGCTATAATAGTTAAAGGCACTGTACTAGAAACCAGGAGACCTGGATGTAATCCTGCCTTAAGCATGAAACTAGCTGTGCTGTGCTTACGAGGCAGTAACAAACCACTTCTGAAAATCTTGCCAAAAAAACTGCGTGGACTAGTTAATGTAATTGCCAGGAGTTAAGATTGATTGAAAGACACATATATAAATGAAATGTATAAATGTATAAATGAAAGAGGGCTTAATGCTAACAACGTATTTCTATTCTGTACTGCAAAATTGCAACCTGAATGCTACAATAGAAATGGAATAGAAAGAACAGTGCTCCCTCCCTCCCTCTTCCTCCCCTGTTTTACTGTGGTTTTCTTCCTTTTTGAATGGCTGGTGCCAGTATGGGATGCTGCTAAGGTTTGGAATAGCTCCTACCCATTCAACAACCACATAAAACTACAAGTGAGGTCATTTGTTGACATGAGAAAGATGTCATCAATATAGCAATAGCACTTAGATTTATATACTTCTTCATAGTGCTTTACAGCTCTCTCTAAGCGGTTTACAGTCATCATATTGTCCCCAACAATCTGGGTCCTCATTTTACTGACTTCAGAAGAATGAAAGACTGAATCAATCTTTGAGCATGTCAGGATAGAAGGAATCGAATGTGAGCAGAGTTAGCCTGCAACACTACATTCTAACCATTGCGCCACCACAGCTCCTATATGCCTAGGTTGACACCTCTGCTCTAGTCCAAACTGGTTGGCCATGCATTCATGACACCTACAGTGTATGGCTGCCAGTACAATCAGGCATAACTCTCAATGGCTCACAGCAACAGTGACAAGCAATATGTGTGCGTGTGCGTGTGTGTGTGTGAACCGCCCTGACCCGATGCCCTAAATGAACTCTCCAGATAAAAAAAATACCAGACACTCCCCAGTACATAAAAATCACAACCACTGGGCTCTAGCTTCACCCTCACAATAGTTGATTTACAGAGTTTGGACCCAAATAAGTTTCTTCTAGAGCTCTGAGAGCTAATTTATTCCATATACAGTATTCATTAAAATCATTGTAAACTAAAGTCCCTTGAATTTCATTAAAGGCAGAAGAACAGCTTCTGGATATTAAATTTTCATCATATGTTGTTTTATTTCAACCAATTTCAATTTATTAGCAATTTATGTTTTGTAGTAACAGCTGTAAAGAGATTTTATGCCAAGGACGTAATAACAATAGATAAAGAAGTACACAATTTTTATTCTTACTTTTGTTGTGAAGCTAATGTTTGAAAAAATACATGCTTACAAAAACAATCTAGCATAAAAACATAAGCAACTTAAAATTAATTTTATGACTTTTTATTTTGATGTTAATTTCTAAATTATGGCAACATAAAAATAAATTCACCCTAAGATCAGCTATTACCAAGAGCTTATATTTTTGTACATAAACACGAAAACCACTACATTTACTTAAGTATTGACCCATGTTGTTGTTTCTTACATATTTCAATTTAATTCACATAAGAATTATAAGCATTTAGAAAATATCTCCATATCTTCTGTAAAATCTAAAAAAATGCAGTGAATTATGTTACAATATTAAATTTGGCATCTAAAACAATACTAAAATAATCATGATCTAACCTCTAAAATGTATATTAACATTTTTGGCTTTCAAGAGGCTTTCCTGTTGTCCTAATAATGGACAGAAATACTGAACTATAGTGGTTTGAATCCAGAGCTTCATTAGAAACTTAAAGGATGGTTAGTTTTCTCCTACAATCTTTTGGTGAGCTACACAGGACGACTATGGCACTGCCTGGTCTACTAAGCAAATAGTGTGAGAGGATGCAAAACAAAAGGAAGTCAACAAAAAATTAATTACTTCAATCTCTTCTTTCAGTGGGCCTAGGTTTAAATTCCTTCATGAATGAAAGGGGCCCTTCTATTTGCACAAGGATATTGGATTACTCCAATTTTCTCAAGATCCTAATACCCAAGAGGCAAATACCAAATAGATTTTAGATACAAGTGTAATTTCAGTGTAAGCATGTTGAATCTATGTTATCCGATGTTTTCTGGGCTGCATAGAAACATGATTCATATTTCAATAGATTTCTCAATGGAATTTATCAGATAATCAAAGGAGCGCATATTCCAGTCAAGTTTGTATAGAACTTGTTCATGGCAAATTCTATCCTTTCTCAAAAATTCACCTTGATGATTGAGTCTCCTTCAGTATTGGAAAGGAAAAACATTTTCCTAAAGCATACAGAAATATTCTGTCTGAAAATTTCATTAAGTTAAAGTATTAAGTACTTTTAAGTTAAAAATAACCTGGGACTTATGTCTTTTAAGGAGAAAAATAGCAATAGCCAGTTTCTGTGGTGATTACTTAATCCAAACAAACCCAAATACATTATTTCTAGCTAGTACCATCTTATAATGGTACTACCTAAAAACTTACTTTTCTCATGGGCACGCTAGTATATATGGAGAAATGGGTCAAGTATATACCTAGCGCACAAACTCAATTGATCAGCAACTGTTTCTTTACTAGATTGTCTCTCTCTTTGAGGCTAGGTTTACTTTATGTCCCTGCAGACTGTTGCTCCAGTTACCATTATTCCTAACTAAATGAATCATGTTTAACTCTGCATAAGGTTATGGTCAGTTTATAAGTAACAATGTACAGAAAGCCCATTAAGCCTTCAGGCAGTTTAGCAACCTAAGATTTTTTCCTTCTCTGGATTTCTACATCAGAAGTGAACATAACAGAACTAATCCCTCTTGGAAAAAGGAATTACATTCCTACTTCAATTCAGGTTTTTTTTTTGTTTAAGTCTTCACAAAAACTGTAAAGGAATTGTATGCTTTTCCAATGCTCAAGTAAACTGAAAACATTTCAACCTATCTGTTATTCTTAAAAAGTTTAAGGAATTAACAATTTGAATCAGCATTTTATCTACTACATGACAAGAACTAACTAGCATTCTCATAAATGCCTGGTTTACTGATTTATCTTCTAAGCCTTTTTGAGTTTTACTCAAATTTATGAAGCACAATAAGTTCAATATCCACACAACCCTTTGTTGCGATTAATATAGTCTGCAATCTTTATCTCAGGACTGTGCCTAAAACAGTGTTTCTTAACCTCAGTAACTCTAAGATGAGTGGACTTCAACTAATAATGTTGGTTGAGGAATTCTGGGAGTTGAAGTCCACCCATCTTAAAGTTACTGAGATTGAGAAATAGTGGTTTAAACTATCAACTGTGTGCACCTACTCTCTGACCTATTTTTCTAAGATTCTTATTCCTCACCCCACCCCTCTTTTTTAAACAGCAAGTTTAAGAGACTTCATTTAATTTTTGCTCTATTTTGTAATGTATTGGTTGGACTTATAGAATGGAGAAAGACTAACTCCTATGTTCTCTCCAGAAGAGACTCTGTATGCATGCTTTTGGGGAAAACTTGGATTATTATTATTTTTCTGGGTGTTGGGCTAAGAGGGAGAGAATAGAAGTAACAATGTAAAAGCAGTTGGTCAGGAAAGAGGCCTCTATTCCTCTGCAGGAAAAAAGAATACCCACTTTTTATACCTTAATTTTAAAGCCATGAAGGAGGATGAACAGTTCCTTATTATGTATAATAAATAACATACCATAGAGATCTATTAATTTCTATGGCCATTAGTTCTCTTAAACAAAAAGTGATAAATTGTGGATTTAATTAACTGAAGATTGTTAAAAGCAAAGAAAGAATATGATTTATTTTATCAAGAGTAAAATAGAGATGTTATCTCTGCTAATCATTAATGAACATCATTAACTAGGACAACGTTATCTTTAAGGATTTGTTTATAGATAACAGATGAGATATGGGAAAAATAGATATTTTGTTGCATTGTTAGAGAAAGTGATAAGTTAAAATTGTTTATGCTTGTGATGAAGGAAAGTCATTTATTTCTTTTCTTTTGTTTCGTACATGATTACTTTTTTTCTGTTCTATTTTTCTTTTCTGCATTTTTATTCTTTTAGCTTGTATTAAACTGTTATCTTTTTAATTATAATGCTAAATTATAAAATATAATTAATCCAATAAGAAGTAATTGGTAACTAAGTTTCAGTGAATGGTATTAGAGCAAATAAGGAATCACAAGTAACTATTTTTTTCATTCTCTTTAGTTGGAAAATGATTTTGAAAAGAAGAAGAGAGCTCTGAAGCTGGCAGAAATTAAAAGAGTGATAGTATGCAGTACTGAGGCATTTCGTAAGTTGCACAACTACTTAAAACATGCAAGTGAAACATACGAATACAAAATATGCAAAAAATATCCCTGAGAAGCATTGCAAATACGACATCAATAAAGGAAACAGTTACCTATTCTGAGGAAGAGACAGCTGAGAGTAAGTGGAGGGAAGTGCTGATTTAGAAAAGTGGTATTTTTAGTGGTAATCTAATTATCACATTAGGTTAGCTGGGAAATCACTGATACAATTTTAGGATTGCTAATTCCTAAAATTGACAGTATTTTATCAAAATGTATTATGAATATAACTTGATATATCAAAAATCAAGTTATTTGATCACAATATGTTAGTTAAATAAAACTGAAATTGTGAAGATATGGTTGAGTACAAACTCAAAAATCACTGGAAATCCAGAGAATATAGATGGATCGCTATAGCTGTTATCTATATGGTGCACTGAGGAAGTAAGAGATTTTAACTTCCATAATTCTTAGGCAGCATGAGTAAAGCAAGGCCACTTTAGATCCTCAAGAAATATAAAAGATATGGGAACCTTTCCATGACTAAATTTTCTTTTCTGGAAAATCCCGACAGGATTTCTTCACCAGTATGAATAGAAAAATATAGCATTTGGGGATGAAAATATGGTCTCAATTGTATCTATGTCCCTACTTCTAACATTTATTATTCTAACTGACCATTCATCCTTCCTTTAAACCTATGTGTTTTGCTATTTGAGGAATTTATCACATATGTTCCTTACTTTTAAAAAAATTAATTTTATTTTAAGGAAATCCTCCAGAATTGTTATGTGGACTTTCAAGTAATCAGGATACACAAGTAACATTTTCAAGTGGTCAGCAAATATACAGAAGGGACAGTGCAAGTTTTAACAATAATTATCATGATTATCATATATGTATCATTGTTTATGGAAATAATTCTTCCACAAAATTATTTTCCACATTAAAGTATTTAAGAAAGTTTAAATTCCTTTCTGGAATATTTTTTTTTAAAAAAACAAAGTTAAAACATAGTAAAATTGCTGCTATTAAAAATGACTCCACTTCAGCTAAAAAAAACAAGAAATTGGGAAAAGATATTAATCCTTACCTACAAGATTTATTCCTTAATAATGTTATATAACGGCTCAAAAATTGCATTATCTATATGAAATCTATTTGCTGATGTTGAGGCATATTTTTTGAAAAAAGCAAATGTATCTTAAAATTATTAAACAGCTGAAAAATGTCAGTGTAAGGTAAATCAGTTAACAACAACATCCTCAACAAAGCCAGGACAACAGTTTAAAGTAAATATTCTGGTCATAACTTTAGATTTCAAAGGTAGGGGCTAGAGAAGGGTTTATAGGATCCTAAGAACATTTTATCATTCACAGAAACAAATAATCAGTGATATATCAATTATTTATATTCCTGACCTTGACTTAATTGTTCAATTGAACTTTAATATGTTAGCTTCTAAAGTTAAAAACATTTATGGAGATGCTTAAACAATGAAATATTAAGACTAGCGTGAATGTTAGCAGACAACTAGGAAACATAACTGAGTTTAAATTTTTGAACTGGAACGGCAAACTAGCCATTAATATAAGTTTGCTCACAAGTAACATAAGACACAAAACATATTTTTTAAACTTTCTACTTAAACATGCTAAGTAGGCAGGTAAGCAGAATTCAACTACGATTTCTCTTTTAGTAAAGCCTATTTTTATAAGTCTTGTCTTTGGTATTTTAACACTGTGAATCCTGCTTTCCAATCTCCAAATATTACTGAACATTATATTATGATGTTCAGCTATTTCAGCATTCGCAGCCAGGAACCTGTTATAATGCAGAGCATCGGAGGATCAAACATTACTCATTTCCTCCAGTTAAATAGGCTGTTATACTAAATTGCAGTTAGTTCCATTATAAACTACTTTCAAACCATAATTTTATGATAATTTAAGTGTTAATCAGAATATCCATTTTGCATGGAAGGGGAAGCATAGATTAATTATAACCAAGCACTCACAGTGTCCTTCCTCTTGGATATAATAGAAGTAAGGATGGAAAAAGCATATACTTGTAAAGAGTCAGGGCTTACTGTTATAGAATGAAAATCAATATTGATTGCGGAATTCAAGGATTTGGTAATTTCCAAAAACAATATTTCAAATTAGAAAGTAGATGGATTTTTAACTCTTGTTATCCAAATTGTAAAATCTATCTTCCCAATCTTGAAAGTTTTCTTATCAAAACAGAAAACTATTTATATAAGAATGAAATATAAAACAAAATATACTGGCCATGAAATCCCCTAGGAAGCAAATCCTCCAGGAAAGTATATTTTCTTTCAAATAAGTTAAATGACAGTAATGATAGATTAATGTATAAACGGATACTGTTGATAAAGTGGCAATGCATAACAATCTTTCAATCCATTATAAAGGTGCAATTGCCTGCAGTTCTTCCGCATGGATACAGCAGTGAAGTTCTGCTTTACAAATTCCAGGCACAAGGGATTTGGTGGTAGCAAGCAAAGGCGGTTCATCTTCTCCTAGGAAGAAAGATGTTGGAAAGGTATTGTTAGTTAGTTTTTCTCCAAATCAATAATTTATTTATGCACATTCTAACATTTCTATGCCATTCTACTCTCAATAGCGGAGTTACAGCGTGTATAATATACTCAACATATACTACCATTTATTTTGGACCGGGAGGTTCTACTTACAGTTACTCATGCCCTTGTCACCTCAAGGCTGGATTACTGTAATGCGCTCTACATGGGGCTACCCTTGAAGAGCGTTCGGAGGCTGCAGTTGGTTCAGAATGCAGCCGCGAGAGCGATTGTGGGTGCACCAAGGTACACCCACGTGTCACCTATCCTCCGTGAGCTGCACTGGCTTCCTGTGGGTCTCCGGATGCAATTCAAGGTGTTGGTTATCACCTTTAAAGCCCTTCATGGCTTAGGACCAGGTTACTTACAGGACCGCATACTGCCGCATAGTTCCCAGAGACCGGTGAGGTCCCACAGATTGGGCCTCCTTCAGGTCCCGTCGGCCAGACAATGTTGGCTGGCGGGCCCTCGGGGAAGGGCCTTTTCTGTGGTGGCTCCGACATGGTGGAATCAACTTCCCCCCAAGATTCGAACTACTCCCACCTTGCCGGCCTTTAAGAAAGCCATTAAAACTCTCCTGTTCCGGCAGGCCTGGGGTTGATGTCCCCGGGGGGGGGCGGGATACGATTGGGACATGCTGTATGAATGTACTTATTTTTATTGTTATATTTATTGTTTTAATTTTGTATGCCGCCCTGAGTCCCTAGGGATTGGGCGGCATATAAATTTTATTAATAAATAAATAAAATAAATAAATTTTGTTACATACAAAACAAACCTCAAAACTACACAATAAAAATAGCAGCTTTTGTTAGCACTGAGCCATGGTGGCACAGTGGTTAGAATGCAGCATTGCAGGCTTAACTCTGCCCATAGCCAGGAGTTTGATCCTGACAAACTCAGCCTTCCATCCTTCTGAGGTTGGTAAAATGAGGACCCAGATTGTTGGGGGCAATATGCTGATTCTGTAAATCGTTTAGAGAGGGCTGTAAAGCACTACCGGGTGGCATATAAGTCTAAGTGCTATTCAAGCAAAACTTAAAAGTTCTATTTGTGCAACAGAATTTCTCTTCCAGCCACCATATTATTTCAAATCTAATATTATGTGACATTTCTAAACCCTGCAGCCTAGATTTTGGAAACACCTGATGAGCTGTGGACAGGAGGCTAAAACCTGATTAGAACACAGGAACTATTGGAATAAAACAAGCTTAAGAAAAAGTATTCTTGATGTCATGGAGTTTGAAAAACACGCTTCCTCTTATTGAAAAGCTTTGCCCACAGGTCATGGAATCATGCTGGGTGATGCTGGAGGAAAGTCCTGAAGCTATTGATACAAGGTAGAATTATCAAAGCAGAGGAAAATACTTTTCAGATCCAGGCTGTTTGTCATATCTATTCATTTCTACTGTTTTAAGGGAATATTTTCAGTTCTCTATATAACAACAACTTTGAAATATTTACAGTTATAAGGGAAATCTCAGAAGTTTCAAGATTTTACATACTACAGGCCATTCAGTTTTCTCTCTTACAACAAGTTAACCTAACTATAGATCTAACTGAAGCTGACCCAGTGCAGTGTTTTATGAGAAGATGGTTTCCAGTTCCATGTGATCAACTTAAAGCTATGCTGGAAGTGATCACCATCATCAGAATCAAAAGCAATGGTGGTTTGTCGAACTCTACTGACTTTGATATTATTTATATCATCTTGTAAAATTTAAAATCTGAACATGCAATTGTAGAGTGCAACTCTGTCTACGACATCTTACCTAGTCCTGATGAGGAGGAGACACTCTCTGTAATGGAAGATGTTTCGGTTTGATCTGTTAAGAGTCCATCCATTAAAGATAGTGACAGTTCAGATGAAGGAACAGAGGAATCATAAATTCCCGAATCTCGGGGCATGTCTGGTAGATTGGCAGCTTTTACAACATGCAGCAATGGCTGAAGAATGGAAGTAGTCTGAATGTCCTGAGATTCTCTATCCACCCCAAGATTCAAATGCTGTGTCACACAAAGAGAGTCTGAATGTAAAGGAGGAACAACATTTGCATCTACTTTTAGATAAAAATCTCCATCAGTCACTTGTTTATTGACTAAGTCATTAAATACTATGCCAGAGTCAAAAGTTTCTGTTACTGGATCCGGACAACGTAAAGGTGTTGGGAAGAAAGAAGCAAACTGCTTCTCAAACCAGTCAGGCTCCTGGTCAATATATTGATGCATGTTGCAAATTGCTACGTAGAGCGATCGTCCAGACTTGCTTCTGAAATAATTTCTTTTGCTAATATGTACAGGATACAATTCTGAATCATGAAAGCTAAGATCTTTGGATTTTAAATGAGCGTAAAGCTGAGGCAGGTTATCCATAAGCTTGTACTTTGTGGTTAAATCTAATACTCCAGGAATGTCACCTTCACAGGAATAATCAAAGTAAACAGCAATGAACTTGCAGAGGTCACGTGAATTTTGCTTTGCATGACGTAGCTGCTCTGCTATGGTAGCTATGGCAACCAGAAAGAGTTCTCCTTTCCCAGTATCCTTTTCTTTGGATCTCTTGTGCTTCCAGCTCCTTTTCTCTACAAAATATTTCATTCCTTTTGAACATACAATGATGATATATTGGGATTCATTGATTTTCCGATGAAGCCATTCTTTCTGACCTTCTTTACAGTTTTTCAGATCTTCCCATAAATCTAAAGAAACCTAGGAAAAAAGATTATAGCCTTTGTATAATGGTTTGACTTTCAACACTCAACTTATGTTTATGAATGTGCATTTATGGGCTGGCACTTATTACAGGAGTGTTTAAGTGAGCACCTACTTGGGAAATTGTTTTTTTAAAAAAGAATGTATATGTATTTGGATGTTTTATACGTGTGTGTGCGTGAGTGAGTGAGTGTGTATGTGCATAAAGCATATGAGACACTGTACATTTCATACATGCAGAGGGAGAGGGAGAGAAAGAGAGAGAGAAGAGTTGGAATTACAAATTAAGGGTAACAACCACATAATAGCTGATGGGGAATTCTCTTAATGCTGTAAGTCGATGCTGTGAACGCTACTCTGGGACAACCAGAGTAATATAGCAGTCAAGAACTGGAAAGACCCTGGGTCATATCTTCATTCAACTGTGGACTTCTTTGGGAGCTTTAAGCCAATCATGCTGTCTCACTCAGAATTTACAATGCTGTTGTTCTGAGATTAAAATAAGGGGATACTTTCATGTACCCTGTGCTCCCAAAGAAAACTTATATGATTATGCCAAAGATTTATTGAAGCTACTATATATGTTACAGGATCTGAGAGGTCCTTGGCACTCTTTGAGCTTGGATGTTTTCTTGCAAATGTTCCATTACTCAAACTATGTAACATCATCAGTGTCGGTAGGGAGTGGGGTATGCTCCCAATGGATATTCTAGTCAGTGGCTTGCCTTGTCAGGGGATCTATATGAGTTCTTATAGTATGAAGAAACTCATAATAGATAAAGAAACTATTTTGTTAAAATCACAGAATCGTAAGATTATCTATATATAAATAATAATGTTACCTATATATAGTTAGATTACCTATACTTAAAAAGAGTGGTAAGTTAGAAGCATATCAAATTAAAATAGATTGTAAAGAAGACAAAACCAGTTCTTAAAACATAATTTAAATGAAATTCTTGGCAAGATTATTCTCTGTTAGTCACCCCAAAATAATGTAATTGCAGACTTTGTATTTGTTTTTTTTAAATCAATTATACATAGAATTTCCCATTAATTTCTGAATCTTCAGAACTGCTTTTATGTGTGTGTGTATTTGTGTGTATAAATATGTATAATACAATATATATAATACACATACACACAAAGTTACATCTGTAATTGATTCTGACACTAGAACTCTTCTCTCCATTCTTGAACATTCTAGCTGTATTAGCACAGCAAATTAATTTGTGGAGTTAAAAGTCTAACATATCTGGACAGCATCCCATAAGGAAAGATTGGATTAGGATTATTTGTAATAGTTTTATTGTTAATGACATGAGCAACAGGATAAATATAATCATGCAAGTAATTTTGATTATATGTTCAGTAGTTCTAAGGTAGATTTCCATATTTTCTAAATACAAAAAGTTAACAGTGAGGCAGTCTTTCAAATTTATGCCCATTTCTAGCATTTTACTAATTTATGAGGTGCTTTATCAGCAAAAATATGTTTCACATTTGTATAAAGCTTCTGATACATAAATGGGTCAAGTGCTTCCCATTTTCTTCTGTATCAAGGATGGCTGGGTGGAGCTGTCCCCCATACTGAAGTGAACATTTAAAAGACGCTCCATATTTACTGGTGGAAAGAAGGATGTGTTAACCTACGCTTCCAGAATCAGGACATTTGAAAAACTCAGCTGAGCTTTTCTTCTAGGTCACATTAGAATATTCTCATATTTTTTTCTAGAACATTAGGCTTCTGAAAGAGCAAGTATTACACATCCTTGTTGCAAACATCTATCTGAAAAGTAACTACCAGGTAGTCCAAACAAAATAAGCAAGGATTACTTTTACTCAAAGCTACCACTAGAGGTCAGACATGCTATAAACATATTCAGACAAAAATAAAAAGTAAATCGAATGTTCAGATGGTAGTCATTTCAATTCAATTAATGCCTTAAAGAAATGTATTTAATATAGCACAAAGAAGACCTCAAATAAAACTTGCCCAAGAAAATGCGGGCAGGACCAATTTACCTCACAACCACAAAAGTCCTGAAGGAAAAAGGCAAAACACTGGATGACATTAATGTGCTTCTGGCAATCTTTACTGGAATAGCAGAGGAAGACTTTGGGCCGAGGCTGCTGCCTTTCCACATGGAGAGATGCAGAGTAGGTAGAAGATTCAGAACTCTCCTCATCTAAATGGGAATAGATATTTTCTAAATTGAAACAAAAAAATCAACAGTGAAGCATTTTACTATCTACATATGGAGAAGAACTGCAATATTTTCCCCTTTCAGCTTGCAAGATTCAAAATCTTGCTTTTTTTCTCTCCTAATTCCAAAAACAGTCCAGGTTCCTCATTCTGCATACCTTGACCAGAGGGATTTTTTTTTCATCTAGGTGAGGCTACACGCTAGATCTTGTACTAATCTTGTCAAATATGGACTATGAAGTCTTCTACAACTGCATACACTTAGAAATACAGCAGCCTACTCAGTGCAAGCACAGAGGCTCCTTCAAAACATTAAAATAAGGCAGGCACAAATCTGTAATGCCAAAGGAATTCTTGCTTCTTTCAGGACTCAGCAGAATGTGTGCCTGTAAACAGACCCCCCCAAAAAGCAGATCACCCAGATGGCTGCACTGCAAACAACTGATTCTCTAGGATATGTTAGATTAATTCTATCAGCCAAAAGACAAGATAAACTACAGGCCCCTAGCTGATCACAGCAATGCCACTACTTGCTTGATGCATAACAATATTCTGATCTCAAGAACTGTGGCTGCATTTTACTAAACAGAAGCATATTAACTCCAGTACCAAGTTGGAAATTCCAGAACAAATAAGGTTGGAGAAGGTGATTTCTGGCAACGGCATCCAACTTTTTAACAAATTAATTTCCCCATGACTAGTTTTGTGAGGGACTTCTACCCCTCAGGTCATTTAGAAGCAAAATGCCTACCTTGTTGCTTTTTGCGACACATCACTGTAAAAAGTGTTGCAAATGCAGAGATGACAACCAAGGGTACTGTAATGGCTACTGCTCTTATTGGACCTGCCCATGGGGAGTGCACTTGAAGAAAGCAGGGGAAAATACCTAAATTAGCTTTTCTTAAACTGAGATATTAGAATCATTGCATCTTCCCACCATTGAAACATGCAAGGCAAACTTATTTTAATTAAATTACATTTTGTGATACTACTCCACTAATTAGTATGAACCAAGGCCTTCTGAGATGAATTTCCAATAGCCACAGGCTTGGGAAGAAGTCTTAACTATAGTCTAGCACAGATCTGTGTAAGTTGCTCCCTCTTGAGGAGACAAACAATTTTGTTGGCTGCAAAAGGCCACTATCCATTACTTTGGGGGAAAGCTTTTCATTTTTATTGTCTTTTTACTTATGAATTATGATTTTAAACCTGGTGTTATACTTTCATTTAAAAATAAAGCATTGAGAGCCTGTGATACATGGTAGTGCAAGAAAGTTAAATAAATATACAATTACATAAAACAACAGAGATTCTCCCATTTCTGTATAATTTGAATGTCAGAGAGCCTGTGGCAAAGGGTCTCCATTCCGGAGCACTAACTTTATCCAACTTCCCTTCATATATTTTAAATTAAATAAAATAAAATGATCAAATTCAGTCTAAGAAAATTCACATGCATCACTCATCCACCTTCAGAATTGATTAGCACTATTTTGCCAATGCAGAACATTCATTATATGGGGAAGAATCAGTAATAAGAGCTGAAAGAATGACCAGATTAAATCTGAACAAGCTCTCAACTCTACTATTATGAAATCTAAAATTTCAAAGTATAGGCTTTTTATATGCATATATTCTACAGCATATATTCTACAGCTGTCTTACGAAATATTAAAAAAATGTTTCATTTAAAAAAACTTTTTAAAGATTTTTATACCTGGCTTTAACACATAGTGCATTGATTTTCTTGTTGTGTTGGTATCATCAATAAGCTTAAGGACAAAACAAAACAAAAACAAAAATTATATTGCAGTATTTATTTTAGAAACATGACAATCACTAATACCTAACTTTCAAGAAAAAAGTGAAATTTTCACTAAGAGATAAGTTAACTTACACATGAATTGTCTTGTAATAACTAACCTCTGCTTTTTGATTAAACTGGTTTAACACTGTGGTATTGATTACACAGAAAACAGTCAAAACTATGTGTGGGAGAACTTGTCCAAGTTTGATTCAGAAAGAATAGTTTCAAAATATCCGCGTACTGTACTTGGCATTCTCAATAAAGGAAGAAGAAAAAATAGTTTGGAGACAAGACAATAATTGTCCAAAATTATTAGATTTAGGGTGGCCTCTTAAGAAAGGGACTTGCCATTACATCTTTCATGGCTAAGGGCTCTGCCCTCTTTCTTCAAGAAGCCATACCGTTGCATGAATCCAACTGCAGGTCATCTTCCAAGCAAAGTTGTCGGCCCTAAATCCAATAAATAGGCAGCCTAAGACACAGTTTGGAAAAAGCTATTCACTTCATTGGAAGTCATGGAAGTCACTCAGCTCAATAAGCCACAAGGCTGAATCTCAGGCACAAGGCAGCCAGACTTGCCCAATTAGAGTCTAGCTACTCATGGGTCTGAATTTTATGTAACCGTCTATCCATTGAACAACCAATCCAGTTTCTAATTTTCCAGCAACATCATGTGCTGTATAAAGCAGCCATGCAAACAAGAATTCAATTACAATTTTACTTCAGTTCTGAAGAAGGATCAAGAAGGGGCGTTGACTTACCTGAACGCCTTTTCTCAGCACGGAGATGGATAATCCACGCAGTGGGTTGAGACTGTATTCCTGGCCAATCAGATCAGTCAGCCAAAGTTGCCACGCCCGTCCTGGACCATGATTCTCCAGTCTTGACACGAGCGCAGCCATTGACTGACAGTAAGACGTTTTGGCTCCACTAAATATACCCTATTATCCTAGTCTATAAGGGTGGGTGTGGATTATCCATCTCCGTGCTGAGAAAAGGCGTTCAGGTAAGTCAACGCCCCTTCTCCAGCACTGGAGATGGATAATCCACGCAGTGGGACATACCAAAGCCTATTGTCCCTTGGGTTGGGGAATAGACTGGTCCTGTGTGTAACTTTGGTCTAGAACCTGCTGGAGAACCCTCCTACCGAAGGAGGCCTCTGCAGAGGAGTGCTTGTCGATTTTGTAATGGCGAATGAATGGAGAGGGCGAGGCCCAAGTGGCTGCCCTGCATACCTCTTCAATAGAAGCCTGCATGGCCCATGCTGCTGAGGTGGCAGCACTCCTTGTGGAGTGGGCCGTGATATGCTTGGGGACTTGCAAGGACTCCGCCTGGTATGCCCCAGTGATGCATGCCCTAATCCACCTACCGATGGTAGAGGACGAGACCTTCCGGCCCCTAGTAGCGGGGTGGAAGGATATGAAAAGCGCTTCCGAGCGTCGGAATTCCGCTGTGCGCGAAATGTAATGTCTTAGTGCCCTTCGTACGTCCAAGGTGTGCCATTGTTGCTCCAGGGGATGAGCTGGGTTTGGACAGAAGTCTGGTAGGACTATTTCCTGTGATCTGTGAAAAAAGGAGTTGACCTTTGGAATGAAGGAAGGGTCTATTCTTAGGACTACCTTGTCCCTGTGAAAATGACACAGGTCCTTCCTCGTTGAGAGAGAAGCTAACTCGGATATCCGTCGAGCTGACGTGATAGCTACTAAGAATGCTACCTTATGGGTCAGGTAGCGAATGTCACATGTTTTGAGTGGTTCGAAGGGCGCTCTGGTAAGAGCTTGTAGTACTCGTGGTAGTTCCCACGATGGATACCTGTGCACGGTTGGCGGTCTGATGTTCGCAGCCCCCTTGAGGAAGGATCGTATTAAGGGATGCTTGCCCAAGGATTCACCGGGGCTGGCAGAAAGTATAGTTGAGAGGGCGGCAATTTGCCTGCGCAGCGTGTTTGGCGAGAGGTCCCTCTCTAGGCCATCTAGTAAAAATTCTAGGATCTTGGGAATTGTGATCCCTTCGAGTAACAATTCCTGTTTAGAGCACCATGATTGGAAGCTTCTCCACGTGGCCTCGTAGATACGGTTCGTGGAGGGGCGCCTTGATGCCTGTATGACCCTAATTACACCCTGTGAGCAAGCCCCCTTGGCTAAAATTGACCGTTCAAGAGCCAGACGGCTAGTTGTAGCCATTGTGGCTCTGGGTGGGAGATCTCCCCCTGCTTGAGGGAGATCCTCTCCGGAGGAATCCGCCATGGATTCGTGCGGGAGAGACTCCTCAAGTCTGCGAACCAAGGTCTCCTTGGCCAATAAGGGGCCACAAGGATTACCTCGGCCCTTTCCCGCAGAATCTTGCGTACTACCGCCGGAAGGAGAGGTAAGGGTGGAAACGCGTACAGGAGTCCCCTTGGCCATGGGCTCCGTAATGCTTCCGTCTGCTCTGCTTCCCTGGATGGGAATCGGGAGAAGAAGCGAGTTAGGTGGGCATTGGAAGGAGAGGCAAAAAGGTCCACCTGGGGAAGCCCGAAGCGGTGACAGATCTCCCTGAAGATCCTCGGGTGTAGTTGCCACTCCGAGTGATCTATTGTTGATCTGCTCAACAGATCTGCTTGGATGTTTGCCTCCCCCGATATGTGGTCGGCCTTTATGGAGGCCAGATTTTGTTCCGCCCAGGCCCCCAGTAGGAGGGCCTCGGCCGAGAGCGAGCGAGAGTGTGTGCCCCCCTGACGGTTTATGTGGGCCTTGGCTGTCACGTTGTCCGTCAGGACCAGTACATGCCTGCCTTTTATGCTGCTGTGAAAATGCCTTAACGCTAGGTGAATAGCCCGCAGCTCGAGCCAGTTTATGTTGTGTCGGAGATCCACCGCTGACCAGCGGCCCTGTGTCCACTTGGTCCCCAAGTGGGCTCCCCAGCCGAATAAGCTCGCATCTGTTGTGACTACTACTCTGTCTGGTTCCCTGAAGGGGGACCCCTGAGGAGAGCTGGAGATAGCCACCACCTGAGGGAGTGTCGTACTCTCAGAGGTATGCCTACCCTCTTCCGGGATGCACTGATTTGCTGTCTCTGAAACGGGAGCATGAACCACTGCAGTTCTCTTGAGTGCAGCCTTGCCCAAGGAACTATTGCTATGGTCGATATCATCTTCCCTAGCAGCTGGGAGAGGCAGACCAGCGTCACTGACTGACCGCGGCTTACCTGTTTTACGGCTTTCTTTATGCTGCTGAGGCGTTCCTGTGATAGGTACACCTTGCACTCCTTTGTGTCTATGACCGCTCCCAGATGGAGTATTCTCGTAGTTGGGGTTAGATGGCTCTTTGGAAAGTTCACCGAGAAGCCGTGGTCCTGCAGCAGTTTTATCACTAACTTTAGGTCCGCCTGAGACTGCTGGGCAGACGATGACTGGATTAGAATATCGTCCAGGTAGCACTGGACTCTGACTGGTACGTTTCTTAGGTGTGCTGCCAGAACCGCCAGAATCTTGGTGAACACCCTGGGCGCTGATGACAGGCCGAATGGAAGTGCCCTGTATTGAAAATGGTGCCCCCTGTAGGCAAACCGTAGAAAGCGGCGGTGAGCCAGAGAGATAGGGATGTGCAAGTATGCCTCCGTGAGGTCGATCGATGCCAGAAAATCCCCTTTCCTTACGCTTCCAAGGATGGAGCGTAGTGTCTGCATTTTGAATTTGCGGTATTTTATGTAGAAATTTAGCCTTTTTAAATCCAGAACGGCTCTCCAACCCCCCGAGGGTTTTGGGACCACGAAGAGGATAGAATAAAACCCCTGGTCTCTCTGGTTCATAGGCACCGGCTCTACGGCCCGTATGTTTAGAAGGTGCTGAACGGCCTCGTTCATGAGCCTTCTCTTTGTTGGGTTTGTGGGACAGGGGCACGGGCGGAAGCGGTTTGGGGCTTTGAGAGAAATTCTAGAGATAAACCATGACGTATGGTGTTCCTCACCCATACGTCCATGGTGGTCTCTTCCCACTGGGGAGCAAACCCTGCTAGTCTGCCCCCAATGGGAAGGTCTGGGTGGGAGTCATCTGGTACGGCGGAAGGGGCGGTTGTTCCCCCGAAAGGGCCGTCTTCCCTGCGTTTGCCTATGTCTTGTGTTCTGTCTGTCCCCCTGTCTTTCCCTATCCTGTCTAGCTTGGAAGGGTTGGGAATTTTGAAAGTAGTTGACCCTGGCTTCCGTACGAAAGGATTGTTTCCTTCCCCAGGAGCCGGGTCTCTTGTCCTGCCTTTTAAGCATGTGTTTAAGGACCTTGCGCTTGTCCTTGTTCTCTGTCAGGTATGGCGTTAGTGCCTCACCAAAGAGCTTTGCCCCTTGGTACGGAGCCGAAGCCAATTTCCACCTGGATTTGGTATCCGCCTGCCAGTTCTTTAGCCAGAGGATGCGCCTGCTCGTGTTGTTTGCCGCCATTGCCTTGGCTGAAAACCTGGTCGCTAAAAGTGTCGCGTCCGACGCATATTCCGTGGCCGCTACCATTTTGCTGAGTTCCTGGTGAGTGCGTATATCCTCCATGGGAACCCGGCCCTGTAACTCACGGAGCCAACAAAGTGTGGCTCTGGTGAAAAAGGACGCGGAGGTAGTCGCCCTGGTAGCCCAAGCTATTGCCTGGTGCGTTCTCCTGTAGTTGGACTCACTCTTTCGGTCCTCGGCTTTAAGAGCCTCAGCAAAATCTCCTGATATGGCCGTGTCCGATATCAGGGGACCTATGGGTTCGTCCACCACCGGCACCTCCAATGTTCCCTCTAGCTCCCTTGCTACGTTAAATAGCTTCCTCTCCGCATTGCTAGGAAGCGGTAGGGAGGTTGGCGCTGCCCACTGTTTCCTTATTGTGTTTAGGAACATGGTCGGGCATGGTATGCAGTGTTGAGTGGTTACCTTTTCGGCGAACGTCGGCTCAGCCTCCGTGTCAACTGTGTCAGGCTCCGCTGGTGTCCCATGCCCCAGATGGGCTGTGGCCTCAGCCTTGCGCAGAATGGTAACAAAAAGAGAAGGGTTAAACAGGCCGCTGAAGGACGGCCCTTGAGGTGAGGTGTCCTCCTCTTCCTCAGACATTTGAATCCCTTGTGACGTACCTGGCTGGTCCAGGTAAGCTTCCTCGGAGACCGACGAGTCTGAGAAGGAGGAGAGGTCCTGATGGTCCTCCGTTTCCTCCCGATGCCTCGTTCTAAGTCCTAGAGGCTTGGCTTTGGAAGTTTGAGCCCTGGCCTCAAATGCACGGTCCACTGCCTGTGCTATTAGGGTAGCTAGCAGATCCCCCGTCAATGCAGGAGGAGTAACCATTGCCTGCGACCCTGCAGGTGCTGTGGTTAGCATGGTCCTCGGGGTTTCCTGTAACCTCCGTGGGGAGGGGGATCAGGAGAGCGATGAGAATTCGCCTATCCCACCCTCTGTTTGGGACTGTGATGAGTTCCCTAATGACCAAATGGCCCGTGGGGATGAAGGGAGACCCAGCGGTAGATCAGGACCTATCCCCCCATTCTGCCTATTTTCAATTCTGGCCCTTTTCTGGGCTCTGTCGAACTCTTTTTCTAGGGCTTGGTGTCTTCTGATTGCCTGCTTGTCAGCCTTCTTTGATGACTTCCTTGCAGCCTTTCTAGGGGCTGCAGAGGATTCCGAATCCTCTGAAGCGGGTGCTCCAGAGGATGAAGGCAGGGCTCCACTGGAGGGAATGATTGCTTCCTCCATTCTCCACTAACGCCGGGCCGCGATAGGGGGGACCCAGGTAGTAGGAGAGCTCCAACTTTGAGTAAGGACAGGCGCACTACTGGGGGCGTCTGGAACTCAGGAGCAGACTCTGCAAAATTGTCAGAGTTAGTCACTGTGCACGGATAAGAACAGGCACGCTAATGGGAATGCCTGGAACCCGGCTTGACTATGGTGGGTAAGGACAGGCACGCGACTGGGGATGCCTGGAACCCACCACTAAATCCAGAAGCGTACGGGCCACTAATGGGGGACCCGAAGTCCGGAAGGAGCCAAAGGCAACTAAACACAGTTAGTTATGAAAGGTTCTTATTTACTTTAGATTGAAGACACCAAGTCCTGGAACCAGCAGCTATGTGTCTGATTTGAATGTCTCTGAATGAATAATAGATGCTTTAGTACCCTAGTACTGCTTGCCTATTAATTCACTCCAGCGGCTGAACCTAGGCTTCTCAGGGAGCCTTAGATCCCCTGTTTGGACAAAAATATGGCCGCCGCTGCCAGGAGACTACTGCGCATATGTTAAAAGGAGCAGGAGATTATTGCGCCTGTGCTAAAAAGGCTGCCTGTGCCACGTGCGGTTGTAACAAAGAGCCACGCATGCTCCCAGCTGTGCAGACAATGGCACCTCGTTTAAAAATCCTGAGCAGCCTGGTGAATGAAAGAGACTGCTCCTTCGCACGCCAGCTGTTTCCCTTAATCAATCTCCCTCCCAGCATGCGTCCCCTTTGTCCTCCGCTCCCCTCGCTAATTGCTTGCCTTTCTGTCTTTCTTTCTTTCTTTTTAACGCGAGGGGTTGCACGAGCCTCCCCGTTTGTTTAAGGCGGCTGCCAGCTGCTTCGGCTGTGGGAAGGTGGTTGGGGTTTGGGTTAGGGATGGGAGTTAGGGATTTCCCCCTTTTAAGTGAGGGTGGTTTCCCCTGTAGGGAATCTGACTTCCTGAGTCTTACAATTTAGCCAGGAAATTTTTGAGTAATCAATTAAATTGAATTAAATTATCTCTAATTAACTTTTAAACTAAGCAATTTCAGCTACTAGAAGAAAATCCCCCCAATGGAAAGGAACTATACCTGCCCAGGAGCCAAAGTTGTACGTCTTTCTGTCTGGCCAGATCAGTCAAGACTGGGGAATCATGGTCCAGGACGGGCGTGGCAACTTTGGCTGACTGATCTGATTGGCCAGGAATACAGTCTCAACCACTGCGTGGATTATCCATCTCCAGTGCTGGAGAATAGCTGATTTGCCATTTTGTTTTTATGATATTGATGCTTTTTTATTAACAAGTTATTCTATATCCCAAAAATTGGCAAGGGTGTCCCTTGCCTCCAGAAAGAAGTGTCTAAAATTTACCAAAGCTGAATTAAAATAAAACTATAAATCCTAAATGTGTGTAAATGGCCATGATTTGGTGAGATTGTCAGTCTTGAACAAGAATGCTACAAGATCCCCTAGCAGAGTAGGAGAATTGTAACCTCATGAAATTTAGCACTCTTGCAAGATTTCAGGTGATTTTTTTTTTAATGATGCTTGGGCAAATATATGAGATCAGATTGTTAGTGCCAAAGACTTGAAATAATTGTACATTATTCTATGATGTCATGCAAAACAAAGATAAAGTACTAACCACACTCCTAATTTCAAAGGAAATAACTGAATGTTTGGCTACATTTTTTTTTATTCTTCTACTACAAATAATTCATTACCTCAATGATATAATCTCCAGGTGAGACATTCTGAAGAATACAAGTTGTTACATCTGTTTTCTTTTCCTATGAAAAAAACAAACCATTTTTTCCTGCATTCATAAAATCTTTTCAATATTAGAAGAAACTACACTTTCATTACAAGGTTATCACTTTTGAAAGTTATGTCAATTCCCAAGCAATTAAAGATACAGATTTGTAAATGAAGTACATAAATCATTAAGCCAAAAACCTTTGGGGTCCTTGTTTTATTGAAAATCTCGCTCCAGTCATAAAACAGTCAATCAAAAATCTTTCCCTTGTTTTAAAGAATTCAGAACCTATACTCAACACAGAGGACAAGTTTTTTCTTTCTCATAGCTTTCCTGGATTACAGCCAATTGTATCAAATTGCAAAAGGAAGTGTTTCCCAAATGAATGCATATTACTGAATGCACTCAGCATTTAATCAAAGAAGAGAGAGAAAATTGCAGTATCCTTTGAATTATATTTCACTGAAAAACATATTAATTCTAAACTTATCCAAAGTACATTGTTTGTTATTCCCAGGTTGAAATAAATAAAAATGTAATAAAGTTATAGCACAAAAACTATAATTACAACTTTTAACTACACGTCATAAATATTGATTAAAAGAGCGCTGTATGTGCTTTCAAGTGCTCTAACCTAATGCTTAAATATTGCATTATCTTCCCCCCTACAATCGGCCAATGTAGAATTATCATCTCTAAAGCATGTATAATGTATAATATAATCCACAATTTTAAATAAAAGTGCAATTCAAAAATGCAAAGAACAGAAAAAATGGAGGAAAAAAAGATCACAGATCTAGGGAACATAACCAGCCTGACTAAATATGATAGGACTGAATCTTTTTTTGTGTGTGCTAAATCTGGAGCTAATGTAAGGTTCTTCAAAACTGAAGAAGCATCTAAAGTCTGATGGGAATCAACATTCAGCAGGAGGTTACACCTGCTCTATGCCATTCGGAACTTGCCCATATAGTTACCCCATTTCAGCTACTCTATCACAGTGTTTCTCAACTTTGAAAACTTGAAGACATATGGACTTCATGTCCCAAAATTCCTCAGCCAGCATGGTTGGCAAGGAAATTTTGAGAGTTGTAGTCCACATGTCTTCAAGTTGCCAAGACTGGAGGAACACTGCTCTGTCAGAATTCTTCCCAACTTCTTTATGAGGTTAATGTATCTGAACCCTGCCCCATAGTTGACTCTTTCATCAAATTCTGTTATTGTCAGCTGACCTAACCTAGTATAAAAATGGTCTCTAAATGTCTTAGAAATTAGGTTAGATCCAGCATTGTAAAACATGAGCAAACCTGTTTACACATCTTCTGTTTGAACTGTCCATCAGTTTTGAGTTTGTAGTGCAGGTAGTAATATCTGAATCCAAAGTTATGTGGTGCATGATCAAAAGATACATGCATAGTAAAACCTTGCTGCGTAATATTCAAGCTTCTTGGTTTCCAAACTATCAAGGAAGAAAAAGATTTAGACAATGATTGGAACATAGTTTTTTTTGTAACTTGATATAATCTTAGTAGAGACAATGTTAAAATTGCAGTTCTACTTACATGGTTTGCAGACCAGGTTGTCTGGTTGCAGCAGCAATTCACAAGCTATTTAGGGAAAAGAAATAGACAAAAGCAAAATTGTTGAGATTTCAGGTCTTCCGAAAAACTAACTTCACAAAGTAAGGTTTTCATTTAGACAGGAAAAGATTTTTGCCTTTCTTTGTGTAAAAACTTTCGGACAGTAAAAGCTGTCTGTATCAGAGAGAAAAGGTGGGGCTCTTGTAACAGCTTGGAATTTAGCTATAGTTCTGGAAAGCCCTACCTTGCCAGAAACCTGGTGCTTATTTTACATGAACAACTTGTTTAGGCTAATACCTAAACCTGTCCATATTTCCTAGTAAAAGAGAGGTTAAATCCTCCAGCAAATATATAGGATAACTCTATGATTTTATGTTACGTGATACAAGAAGCATATGCATTTGTACATCGATCAGAAAACTAGGAATGACGGGTTTAGTAATAGTAGTAAAGTTGGAAGGGACCTTGGAGGTCATCTAGTCCAACCCCCTGCTCAGGCAGGAAACCCTATACCATTTTGGACAAATGGCTGTCCAGTCTCTTCTTAAAAACTTCCAGTGTTGGAGCATTCACCGCTTCTGGAGGCAGGTTGTTCCACTGGTTAATTGTTCTAACTGTCAGGAAGTTTCTCCTTAACACATAAGAAGTAGCTAATAGTCACTTTGAATTAGGACTGTGCAAATACTTCAAAATCTATATTTCAAGATGCACGAGAATGTGTACAAAGCATCTCTTTTCCAAACATGAGAGTAGCAGCAGCAGCACTTTTTAAACTGCTTGAGCAAAGTCCTGCTTGAAAAGGTTACATAGGTCTCCAAATGATATGAAAGACAATAGTGAAAGACAATAGAAGATCTTAATCTCATATGCCTGATACATGTATAGGCTGATGAATTTGTAGACTAGTCATTTAATTTCCCAAAGAAAATAACAGTTGCTGAGAGAAAGGCATACATACAGTTCTTTTACAGGAATGTCTTAGTAAAATCAACTCAGTGTATCAAAACTTTCCTAAATATATTTCCATAATTCTGATGCTCATCCAGTGGTTGGATTCAGCCAGTTGGCACCAGTTCGGCAGAACCGGTAGCCAATTTTTTGTTGCCTAGGCCCAGAATGGACTTCCGGAAGCAGCATCCACACAAATAATCGGTTGTTCACATATTTGAATACTACCACTGGGCTCATCCATATTTTCTCTTCAAGGCCTCCAAAGCCGTTTTACTTAAAGTATGCTTTGATGTGAATTTTAACTAGAAAGCATGCAATTTCAGCTACTATCAGTTTTCATTAAGATCTGTAAGGCAGAAAGGAATAATTGTACTGTTGTACTTACGCCGAGTTCTGAAGAAAAAAGGATGGTAGTTACTTTCATTCTTAATGGATGGAAAAGGAATAATCTTTACAAAATAGTCAGTTTCAAATTTCAGATTTAGGAAGGGCTGAGATTCCACTCTCTGAAAGGGAAGAAATATAAGCCAATTATTAGTATATTTTAACATGTCCTGGATAATCATGCAATTGGAGGACATGTATTTTCCTAACATAATTCCATATTTCCTTTTTATAGGAATCAATGTTGGCACCAGAAGAAGACCAACTATTCTTCAAACTTTAACCAATAGGATTGTTCATACAAAATAAAGAAGTTGGTAGGTAGAATAAAGGTAGAGCAGCCCACAATCTCTATTTCCTCATAATTCCACATTTTTCATACAATGTAAACTGTGTAATTAAATATATTCAGATGCTGCTAAATTACAACTTCCTACTGCCCTCTTAAATATGAACCTGAAAAAATGCCACACCTTTAAGGAACCTATAGATTAAAATTATGGCAATTCTTAGAGCAGCAGAATACTTCTCAGGGTGAAATGTGCACAGTCCAAGTGAGGGGTCCCCAGAGCCTGATATTCCAGGCAAACATTTGAAATAAAATATCCTTTAGTAGGATTAGGGTCCCATCAATTTCAATAAGGCTTCTGCTCTGAGATTTCTATGACTTTCAACACCAAGACTTACAGTCCACTTATAACTTGAGTTGAGCTGCTTTGGGTCTTTTAAAAGCAACTGCTGACATTGTCTTCTCTCCGATTTTAATTCTTCAAGTATAACTCGAAATCCTTTCAGAAATTCAATACCTGCATATATTTAAACAGATCAATAAATAAGTTTACTGATGAATATGTTTTCCTTAGATTTATATGGCTATTCAATTTGCAAAAAGTGACTCTGACACACAATGTATAATAACATCAAAATAGGGAACAAGAAAGTAAAATACATCCCAGACAGAAAAGAGAACAGAGAATAAAACACAAACAACAGGATGGCTATCACCTTTTGTTTAAGCTCCAATCTCCAATCATATACCCAGGATTAAGTGTGTAGATCAGGTCTCAACATGGCTATTGTTGAGAATTCAGGGAATTAAAGTCTATACATATGGAGGACACAGAAATGATAGTGCTAAGCTTGGCACTAACACATCAAGTAAGCACATAATTTAGGAAAACTTGGCAATTACATTTGCACTGTATGGCATTCTTAAATAAGCAGATTCTAAGTAAAATATTCTAAGACTAGTTTAAGTGCAATTGTATCTTCCCATGCTCCTACAATACTGCACTAAACATTTTTATTTATTTTCCTTGTTAAATTTGGTATTTAGTTCATGTACATTTGTACAAATATTTTTCAGCTCTAAATAATCTTGCAACAAGGAAGGCAAATCAGCTACCTCCTGTGTCCTTTATATTTAAAGAAAGAACACTACTATTTGTGCTGACAGTGAATAAGAAAAATTAACCAGACCCCTGTTACCTGAGAGCCTTCAACTTCAGTTCCTTCTTGATATTTTGAGAAGGATTAACTTCTGATCATTACAAGAGAAAATGCCAAGCTTTGTAGGCCTTGGAGATTTAATGCATCCAAGTCTGCAGCTGCAAATTACCAATTCAGTAACACTGTGCACTTAGAAGCATTGGATATCACTTCCCCATTCTTTTTAATAGCTACCCATTAACAGCACCCAGCATGTCTCTATTCAGATTAACAGCACACTAAATATAATGAAATACATTGTGCTTTACCAAGATTCAACCATTCCTTTTACTGTTTCCCCAACATATATGTAAAAAAATGCTTTTGCAAATTTGTTGCTATCATCAGCTCACTATTATGGCCCCTTTCAAAAAGCTGATGAGGTTTCAATGCAGCCTGTATAAATTTGAACACAATAAAAAATTGTAGGTGGGAACTCATTATTTTGGAACTCGGTACATCTCTACATTACTTCATGTTGATGAATAGTTCTTTTCTTTTAGGAATTACAATCCCAAGATCTGATATAAAAGATAAGTGTACAAATTACAGACACAGTTGACTTGATGTGAGTATTAATAATTTCTCTAATATTTATATCCAAGAAAGCCTGGGAGAAACTTGTAGGAAAAGGTTAAGTAACATGGAGGGAATAAGTTAAGAATGGCAAACACTTAAGGGCTCTATCTATTCAAAGATGAAGGTGATTTAAGAATGACAGAGAAAATGCAATTTTGAAAAAAGTTGAAGTGTCTTTAAACAAAAGGGGGAAATTCTCCTTTATATTTGGCAATTTAGCTTGGCTTAAATGGATTGTCTTCAAATCTTTTAGAATAAACTTCAATGTTAATAATGTTAGGCAAAGCTTAATTTCAAGAAATCTGAAACATGGATTCAATGGACTATCCTTGAAGCTAACACAGTTTAGCTGGAATGGAAAAAAGCAGAAATTTCCAAAGGGTTGGCATCTGTTTGAAATTCAATTTTTTCTCTACTTACCAATGGGGTTGGCTGTCCACAATACAGTCACTGCAACTTGGTCAGAGCATGCATACTGACTAATAGTGATGTTCTGTACATCTCCAATCACATGTTTTCCTATTGAATTCAAATAAGGAGTACAATCTGGGGAAGAAACAATTAAATACATTTAAAACAGAAAATGTTTTCTGTATTATTAGAGCAGTGGTTCTCAACCTTTTTAATACCACGACCCCCAACCAGTCATAAGTCGAGGACTACTCAACCGGTCGTAAGTCGAGGACTACTCAACTGGTGCAGCACCGTTTGCAGAATGGGACTTTTGGCGGGCTCAGCAGGGCAGAGACAGCCTGGACAATTCCTATTGGCTTTTGAAAGCCAATAGAATTAGACTCTATTCAAGAGAGTCTATTCTATTGGCTTTCAAAAGCCAATAGAATAAAAGGGAGTAGCACAGCTAAGGAAAAGGGGGAAAAAATGGCGGACTGCGTTGTTTGGCGACCCCCGTGAAATGGTCGTTCGACCTCAAATGGGGTCCCGACCCACAGGCTGAGAACCACTGTATTAGAGAACATTCAGAGAATGTTCCTAACATTCTCAATCATCCAGGTTGTGTATGTCCCAAAGGTGCTTTTCAAAAGGCAGCTGGACTTTTTTTTTTCTTTGAAATAAAGAAGCTTCTTGGATGAGAAGAAAAACCTTTTTCAAGGAAAAAACTAAGTCCAATTGCCTTTTGAAAAGCACCTTTGGGAGTCCAATGATATCATTTTATTTTTAATCAGTTACTGGACGACCTGTGACCAGTTGGGTCCTTATTTCCTCATTCTGTGGCTTTCATTGTCATTCTGGAGACCTGGAGCCTTCCATCTCTTTCCTTATTTGCTCTTTGTCTCTGATCCTGGAGACATACATTACTCTCCTCCTTTGCCTTGTCCTTTGTTCTCTTTCTGTGTCTTTTGTTGTCATTCTAAAGGCATAAATGCCTCCTCTCTCCCGCTCCTTCTCTCATGTTATTTGTTTTGACTGCTTGATCCTGGAACTGTGTGGCCCTGGCCTCATTCAAGTCTTGTTTTCTGCCCCTATTTGGTGCATTCTGAAGACATCTGGTATCATCTGTTGACTAGGACAACTCCCCTCTCTTTCCACACAGCATAATTAGATAGACAATATTTTTTATTATGGTTGATCGCACAGTCAGATGTTTAGATTGGCTTTTGCATTTTTATCCACCTATTGAGTCCTCCCCAGGGACCTGGGATAGGCAGATGTTTGTTTGATGATGTTAAAGGTGTTGTCACAGGATGTACGCTGTCCCAAATAAAGCTGCCTTTTGCAAAAATTATTATTTTTGTACTTATTTTTTACTGCAATGCTATATGGTGCTTTCATCAACTCAGAAGAGTTCTCACTTTCTATCGGATCCCACATTGTTTTATGGGAAGCTGGCAGGGAGTGCTGCAAATGATGATCATGTGACTGTGGCTGAATATGGCGAGACAGTAGTGCAGCTGACTCTGGTAGTGTGGTGGTTCTGAAGTGGCCACAACTTGCCAAATTTCAGTCTCATATGATTAATGGGTCCCAGATTTTGGACACATACTTTAAGTTAGCCTCTTTGAGGTACATTGATTTGAAAAGTGTTAGCCTATGGATTCTATATCCATTCACATGGCATTGTTATAAATTAGTGAAGGTTCTCATTATCCATTTATTGCTGGAAGAGTGGCTATCCTCTCTTAGCTTACTCAGTACTTTGTTGTATAACAATGCTGTTCCTGGAATCTATCACTTCTTATTTGGCTACATTATACTTTTTCCTAAGAAGTAACTAAAAGTAGATTTCTTAGAAATAGTAGAATTCAAGTGAATGACAGCAAAAGTTTCATACAGAAAAAGAGCCATCTGTGTAGGAAATTTAAAACAAGAGCTTCCTCCAACATCTGGATCTACTTAAAGGATAGCTTTGCATTTTGTTGGCAAAATGTTTGTGCTCCAAAATGACAATTTGCCAAAAATCTAGGAGAATACTGTAAACTCTCATAACCAAAAAACCCCTTACTTTCCATTTCTCCATTTCATTGCTAGGCTGTGTAATCTCCAACAAAGGCATATACTATAAGTAAAAATGCATTTCAGTCACTTTACATTACACTAAAACTTTAAAATTTAATATTAAGTGTATCCTTGTTTATTGTGATAACGATTCTGTTAGCAAAGCAACTTTACAGATTGTGTACTTCAGAAATTTCATTTTTTCTTGTGAGGAAACAACCTATCTGTGTAGGATTGTGTTCTTGGCAGGGTTGCCCATTTGTCAAATAACAGAGATCCTGGAGATTATGGATGAACACAAACAAGTTTTCCAGAGCAAAGTTGGATTAGTGAACATTTGAAATGATAAATTAGCACAACCAAATTTCCCTTTAAAGAATATGCCTGGCTAGGCTAAATTAACAGACAAAATTGTGTCAGATAAATAATATTGTTAAGTTTGGGGGCTATACTTCCAAGTTCTAAGCTCCTCTTGGTATACAGCCTTGACTTTCCCTTCAAAGAAGAAAGTGAAGAGAGACACAAAAATAACAATTGCAGTATTATAAGCTTTCCCTTCAAAGAAGAAAGTGAAGAGAGACACAAAAATAACAATTGCAGTATTATAAACTCAATGCAATCATGTCTATATTCCTAAATTCTGCATTCTCTCTAGTTTTGTTTTTAGTTACTGTTGCTTGTTGCTTGCTGATTTTTTGTCTGTATCTTTTTATATGCCACAGTATAATGCTTATTTAGAGATTCAAAAAACATCCCTTTTTCTCTTAAAGGTTTATGGTATTTCCTGTGTTCGGCACCCTACAAAACATTGCTAGATGCAACATAATTGCTAGCTACTTGTTTTCTGATGGAGATTGCAACACGATAGTAATTCAATATTTCTAAAACTTTAGAGTGAATGATTTATTAATCTGAGTCACGTGGAACAGTGAAAGAATTAAATCCTATTTGTTTGCAGCTACAAATGTTAAGAAAGCACAGAAATGGCCCAAATTGTCCTGCCTTTCTTTCACATATTCATCAAAGGTACAAATTGTTTTACCTGATCTTATTTAGATAAAATTTGAATAAAGATGCCATGGCTGAACAAAATAGTTTTAATTTACCCCTTAAGTTTTTAATGGACAAAACATTTTGCTCTATTTCAAACTCATCTTAATTAAAAGCCTAAGTGGTTAAATAAACAAGAACAAATTCAATGTTGTCTTCGAGAGAAGTCATGATGCGAAAGGATAACTTACTGTCATATTTAAAGGTAATATTAGGCAGCCCAATATTCTTTCCATTTGGAGAGAGGACCTATAAAAATACGAGAGAACACAGCATAAGCCAGTGGCTGAGACAGTAAGTCGGACTTAGTTGATGAATGAATTCATTTGACTACATCAGGGGTAGGCAACCTTGGCTCTTTTATGACTCGTGGACTTCAACTCCCAGCAGGCTCAGGAATTCTGGGAGTTGAAGTCTACGAGTCATAAAAGAGCCAAGGTTGCCTACCCCTGGACTAGATCATCCCAGTGTGATACAGCTGAATATTAGAATTCCATCTAGTGAAGTACACTATGCTCAGCATTCCAGTTTTGATAAAACTAAGGAAGAATTGTTAACTCTACAAAGTATGAACATTGTATGGTTGTCTTAAATCAGACATGTCAAACACAAGGCCTGGGGGCTGGATGCGGCCCGCAAAGTGGTTTCATGTGGCCCGTGAAGCCATCCTGGAAACAGTGAGGGAACGGCCCCTGCTGCCTTGGCACTGGCCCAGGCCAGCCGAGAGCCAATGTACAATTTTGTGGTGGCCATCTTGGCACTTGCCCCGGTGGACCATGCCTTGGCACTTGCCCCAGTCCCACCCCCTTCTGCCAGAGACCCTCAGATCTGTCCCACTCCTGCCCAGGCCTCCTCAGGTACCCTTGACATGAACGATGTAGAACTGGCCACGCCCACCTAGTAGGCCACACCCACTTCTTCCACGGCCACCCAGTAGGCTGCACCACTCTTGCCACACACACCCGGCCCCCTGAGGGCAACCGCAATGCTGATGCGGCCCTCAGTGAAATTGAGTTTGACATCCCTCTTAAATGTTTCATGCTTCCCAAGTTACTGATGAATACAGTTCTGTAAATATACTCTTAAGATATTATTGAAAAAATACAAAGAAAATCTACAATGCTTTACACTAGCTGCACCATTTTTAAGCTCCAATTGCACAACTCAAAGAAGATACAAATCATCTCTAATTCACATTCCCAACCTAATAAATTTTATCTGTGAAGAATTACAACTATAATTTTCACTAACCATGACCTTACTAGAAGTCAAAAGTTGGGTAAAATGTATGCAAGAAGTGTCAATCTCTCTTGAAAAAAAACCCCAATAACTGCTATGTTGTGTCCAAAATACTTTTGGATTGATTTGGGATTTGGGAAGAGATAATGTTGAATATAAATAAATGTTGTACAACAGGGCTTTTCAACCTTTTTACCCATTGTACCACTTTTAGGATATGGCAACATCCGAGTACTTTTTTTTTCCAATCACAGTTGGATTTTGCTGCTTCTGGTCTTTCCTAGCCGCAGAAAGCATCTGTTTAATTGGGAGAACCTGGAAAGCATGGGGGTTGGCCAGAGCACAGAACCTTTTGTTAGGGAAAAGGGAGAGACGGTGTGAAAATGAAATGGAATGAGTGAATGAAAGAATTGGATTTGGGCAACTAGTTGGTAAGGCCCTGTAAGCAAAGCAAAGTTAGGAAATTAAGCCTCAAGAAGGGAGCGGCCACTTACCTCCGAGAGCAAGTGGAGGTGCCCACGGACATTGGAGGCATCCGTAAACAGTGGTGTGAAGCCGGCCGGTCGAAGAGTAGCCAGTACCTTCTAACGAGGAAACCAGAAGTGTCTCTGCAGACCCCTTTTTGGTCTGAAAACGTGGCAGGATCCCTCAGAGGAGCTGTCCCACGAACTCTGTGAGGGATCCAGAGTGCTCCGTGAGTCCCATTTTTACCAGACTCACAAAGAATCATGGTGGAAGAAAGCTCAAAAGGAGGCTTTGACTGTGTAGTGCCCTTTAGCGTCAAGGGAAAATCCCGTCATATAAGAATGGGAGGTTCCAATTCAAGGGCTGAGGTAGGTTTCCCAGTTGAAAGCTTGCTCATAGCCTAGGACAGGAATCAGCTTCCTGTCTAGGCCGGAATGGAAAAGAGGTAGGTAAAGAAACTATATGAAAAAAAAAATAGACTTTGCTTAGGGCCTTGCTGGGAAACCAATTTGGCTAAATAAAGGTACTTAAAAGGGAAAATAAGAAATAGTGATATCTCTCTCTCTCTCTCTCTCTCTCTCTCTCTCTCTCTCTCTCTCTCTCTCTCTCTCTCTCTCTCTCTCTCTCTCTCTCTCTCTCTCTTCTCTATGCAACCACGTGGTATGTTTAAAATATGTGCCTTCCCTAACTTGAGTTATCTGAAATTTATGGTGGGAATGACTAGGATGTGTAAAACTAAGACTTCTGTTCGCTTGTCTTTGTGTATATATGTTTGTCAAAGTCTGTGTGAAAGGTAAATGTGACTGTTAACTGTTTCAAATCCAAAGAAAAAATAATTTTAAATTCTGCTAGAAATTGTGCTTAAAAATAAGCCACAAAAAGGAAATACCTCACTCTGTTTGTCTGGCCAACAAACAGAGTGAAGAAAAAGAATTGTGTTTGTTTGTTTGTTTTCCTTTCTCTCTGTGTACGCTCAAGAACAGCCTTAAGTTACCAGGAGGGATTGCTTTAAGTTTATCTGTTGGAAAAGTTTCACTTGCATTTACTGTATGTGTTTTATCTATCCTTTTCCTGAAAAATGTGTGTCTATCTACAAGAGCCTTTTGAAACTCAGGTCTGCTTGTGTGGGGAAATAATTTTTTGAAGTTACTTTTCGTATCCTATCACTTATTGGTGATGCTACTATGAAACTTTTCTTATCCGAAATATATGAGCATTTCTCAATCTCTAGAACGATGTGGTCTATTTTGGAATGGATGTTCTCCTGCCCTTGGCAAGTTGCACATCTTAAAATGCTAGGCTTTTGAAATTGTTTGGAGTTTTCAGCATTTTCGGGCTGCCTGCGGGCTGCCCCCCTTCCGATTCTTTTCCTGCCCTTTGTTCTCCATGCCTTTTGTCTGCCTCTCCTGGTGGAGTCCGCCCGGGGGGCTGGGGGAGACCTTGTTCTTGTGTCTTTCGGCCCTGGGGCCCTCTCCCAAGCCTTTGGAAGCAGAACACATAGACCCAGATGCTGCCTCCATCCATTTGAGCCATGGAATTGAGTTTTGAATCCAGCCATCCACTAAAAAGTCACCATGCAATCTAAGTTGAAAATCTTCCCAAGTCCTACCATTTCCTCAGATGCCTGTGAGAGCTGCAGAAGGAAGGATTCCTGGTGCCATGTGAAGCCTCAGAAGAGAAAATTAAGACTGTGGGGGGAGGGTGGAAACTCATTGTAAACTTTTCTTTCTTGCCCCATTTGTATTGTAACAAGCCAGTTGAATGTATTAATGGAGAGATGGCATTTAGGAATAGGTGGCAGAACAAGTACTGAACACCTTGGACTTCTATCTGGTGGGAGGGAAAATTTATCCAGAATGTTTGTATTTTGTAGAAATAGCTGCATATGCACACATACACCATTCACACCATTCAGAGTCTATCCCCTCCAGCTACCTTTAGTAAAGTTCCTCAGGCTGATTTTTGCTCTATTGCACCAAACTTTGTGGGACCAACTTCCAACAGATAACAAGGGGGAGGGAATTAGGCCCCCTCAGGTGATTTGCAATTCATATGCCCTGACTAAGGAAGCAACAGGAAAAATCCCAAACTTCAGCCCTGAATATCTTGCACTGGTGAGCCCAGATTGGGATTCCTAGAACTCATTATGTGCAATTTAAAGAAAATTTAATAGCCTGGTATATTGGACATTACAAACCTGGATGCACTGAACTAAGAGCTAAGGCAGGAAACAACCCCTGAAAACGGGCAACCATGTACTAAGGAGAACCATGGCTGTGAAGAATTTTGGGAGGTATGCAAACCTGACTGGAAGCTAAAGGTGATATCCAACATTTGAAAATCATTGGCACAGAATATTGGACACTATAAATTTCTTTTCCACCTAACAATATTTTGCCCTGACTTTTAGAACTTTATGGGTGCAAGCTCCCCTTTTGGGAGCCACTAAAGGGATCTTTTTCTGCTGCCTCCATTAATGTCTTATTATTATTATTATTTTGCTTAACAGTTTAAAAGCTTGCCTACCAAGTCTCCCTGACCAGATCAATTTTAATGTTGTGCCAATAAGTGTGTCATACATTTACACACTTAAGGCACAAAGCGGGGATTGATGAAAGTTAGCCCAGAGAAGAAATATTAAAAAGGGCAGAAAAATATATTTTTCCTCAAAAGGACTTTTTAAAACCAAACCTGGCCCTAAATCTATCTCTCTGCCCCAAGCAAGAGCTAGGCCCATACAAATGCAAATGTAAAACCATCAGAAAGTTGGAGCCAGAGCAATCAAGAAGACAAAAGAGAAGATCTGCATACCCCACCCAAACTCTAGGAGTCAGCCCCATCATCTGGAAAGCAGGATATGATAATAGAATTAAACCACAGATATCAAGGCCTAGACAAACACTCAGAAACAGCCTCAAGGTTCATGCCACAGGAACAGGAAACTATTCCAAACAAAAGGCTAGGGGGGGTATAAAACCTACTGCCCATGTGCTCAATCCCCCTTCTCCTTTGCTCGCTCTTCTCTCTCCTCTGCACTTTTCTGAAGAACCATCTTTCTGCAATAAACTGTAACCTTCTTCCCAAAGCAGTCGCCATGTTTGCTTATTTATTCCCGGCTTGGATGAACCAGGATGAAGACTTTACTTCTAACACTTTGCTGATACAAAGGCCCCCTTATTTAGTGAAAGCCAGACAATATAAGGTAATCCTCAAGCATGCTGCAAATCTACAGAAAGACCATAAACAAAAGAAACACACAGAAGAAGTAACAAAATTCAGTTCTTTAAGAAACCCAACTCTCATTTACACAACCAAAACATCTTAAAGTACTTCTAATTCAGTGCTGATATGCTCCAAATCTTCTGAATATTTTTTTGTTTTCCTAAGTGGAACAGAACATGTTTTACTAGAAGTTTCTAAGTTTCTTCGTTACTAGCAAACCCAGGAAAAGTTAAACAAGAGACTATGCATTTTTTTCCAAGTTGCAGAATTCACACTAGGAATAATTTTATAACATTCATTTCAGGGCAAAAAGTATTGGATAT